CTGTACCGAGGCCGCCACTGGTGCCCCCCTGTCCACGTTCCCCCGGGACCCAGTGTCCGGCCTGTTCACTCTGGACACCGTGACCCCCCCGGCTGGAGCGCTCCCTCAGGTGGCTGCGTCTACCCAGGTTGCTGCTGCCTGCTCCTGTCGGTCCCTCACTCACCCGACTCTCCTTTGGCACCACCGCCTAGGTCACCCTGCGCTCCCGCGTCTGCGTCACATGTCCCAGCACGGTCTCGTCCTTGGTCTCCCCGGTTCGTTCCCCGAGTTTCCCTCCTCCCCCGCCCCACCGTGCACGCCTTGTGTCGAGGGCCGGCTCCGCCGTGCCCCTCACTCCTCCTCTTTTCCCCCTACCACCGCACCACTGCAGACTCTGCACATGGACGTCTGGGGCCCAGCCCTGGTCCATGGGCCGCGTCGCGAGCGCTTCTTCCTAGTGCTTGTCGACGACTTCACGCGCTACACCACCGTCTTCCCCCTGGAGCGGAAGGCCGACGTGCCTGACGTTCTCATCCCCTGGCTTGTCTCTGCTCGTGTCCACCGCGGTCTCCCTGCCTTGCGCCTTCACTCCGACCGGGGTGGCGAGTTTGCCTCAGGTGTCCTTGGTCGCTTCTCTCGTGCGGAGGGCATCACCCAGACGTTTACCCTGCCGGACTCCCCGCAGCAGAATGGGGTCGCTGAGCGACGCATCGGTTTGGTCATGGAGGTGGCTCGCACCTCCATGATCCACGCCGGTGCACCCCATTTTCTGTGGCCGTTCGCCGTGCGCTACGCCGCTCACCAGCTTAACCTGTGGCCGCACCCCCAGCGGCCGCAGGTTTCGCCGACCCTTCTGTGGACCGGGTCCCCTGGTGACGCGTCTGCGTTCCGCGTCTGGGGCTGCCTTGCTCACGTTCGTGCCTCTGGCACGGACAAGCTCACTGCCCGCACCCTCCCCTGCGTCTTCCTCGGTTTCCCCCTTGACGCGTCCGACTGGCACTTCTACCACCCGCCGTCTCACCGCTTCTTTCACTCTCGCGACGTCACCTTTGACGAGTCCGTCTCCTTCTACCGCCGCTTTCCCCACCGTGGTCCCCCGGTTACTCCCCCCCTTTTCCTGGTTCCTCCCTCCCTGGTGGTCCCTGCCCCTCCCCCCCCCCCGCCCCCCGTCCGGCCCCCTCTGGTGTGTCTCACGTCACCCCCCTCCCGTCGGTCGTCCCGGTCGACGAGTCTTCTGACTCTGGTAGTCCTCCGGCGCAGTCCTCGCCGTCTGTCCCTCCCCCGGTGTCTCCTCCTCCACCGCCTCCGCAGCCGCCGTCGCCGCAGCTGCTGCAGCCGTCGTCTCCACCGCCGCCGCCGTTGCAGCCGTCGTCTCCGCCGCCGCCGCCGTCGCAGCCGTCGCTGCAGCCGCCGCCGCCGCCGCCGCTGTCGTCGCTGCCGCCGTTTGTGGACTCTGGGGGTGTCCCTTCTGGGGGTGCAGGTGTGGAGGGTTCGGGAGGTAGCCGTCGCGCAGCTTGTGGCCCTGGTGTTGGTGTTGTGTCGCCGCAGCAGCAGTCCCCGCCTGTGTCCGCCCTCCGTCTGCTCGGCCTTCCGTCTCCTGACCCTGCGCCTGTTCCTCTCCTGCCGTCTCCCCCTCTTCCCGTCTACGGCCCCGTGTTCCCTCTGCCAGACTCGTCCCCGGCTCGTCTTCCCCCTCGTTCCCCTCCTGTGTCCCCTCCTCTGTCTCCTGACCCGACGCCGCCCTCACACGTCTGGTCTCGCCGCCCCTCTCGTGCTCGTCCTGTCTCCCCTGTCCCGCGCTCTCACCCTATGTTGCTCCGTTCCCACGCGTCTCGACCTCCCCTCCTCCCGTCTCCTCCTCCGTCTTCCCTTGTCGTTGCGTCTCCTCCTCTGTCCGACTCCTTTCGTGCTGCTCGTCCTCTTGTTCCTCGGGTCCTTGCCTCTCTCGTTACCGACCCGTCTGTTCCCGTGTCGAGTCTTGACGCCCTCGTCGCTGCGGTCGCTGACTTCGCCTCTACCCGCCGCCTTGACTACGCCACCGCTCTGGTCTCTCACCCTGCCTGTCCTCCGTCTGTCGGGGGTGCTCCTGCCCTCGGCAGTGACGTCCTGGAGGACCGCCAGTTTGAGCTTGCTTTCCTGTCCGAGGCTGCTCCCCATCTCTGTTCCATGCTGCTAGTCCCTGAGGGTGACCCAGACGCTTTCGACATCCCGACCCCTCGTACTTACGCTGAGGCGGTTTCGGGACCCTGGGCCTCTCAGTGGATAGCTGCCATGGAGCAGGAGATGGCATCTTGGAGATCCACCGGCACCTTCGTCGACGCAGTTCCCCCACCTGGGGTGAACGTGGTCGATGGCCGTTGGCTCTTCAAGGTGAAGCGCCCTCCTGGAGAGCCGCCTGTGTTCAAGGCGCGCTACGTGGCTAGAGGCTTCAGTCAGCGCGAGGGGGTGGACTTCTTTCAGACTTTCGCTCCTACCCCGAAGATGACTACTCTTCGGGTGCTGCTACACGTAGCGGCTCAGCGTGACTACGAGCTTCACTCCCTCGACTTCTCCACTGCCTTTCTTCAGGGCAGCCTTCACGAGCAGGTCTACCTGCGTCGCCCTCAGGGCTTTACTGGCACCTTCCCCCCTGGGAACCAGTGGCTTCTGCGGCGGCCAGTCTACGGCCTGCGCCAGGCGCCTCGTGAGTGGCACGACACTTTGCGTGCTACCCTTGCTGACCTGCAGTTCTTTCCGTCCTCTGCAGACCCCTCGCTCTTCGTTCGTGCTGGCTCGACTCCGTTCTACATCCTCGTCTACGTAGACGACCTGGTCTTTGCCACTGCTGACAGGGACGCACTGGCCTCCGTGAAGGCAGAGCTGCTGAAGAGACACACCTGCACTGACCTTGGAGAGCTGCGCCGTTACCTTGGCTTGCAGATCTCCAGGGACAGAGCCGCGCGCACCATCACCCTGACTCAGTCACACTTGGTGCGCCAGGTCCTTCAGAGGTTCGGCCTTCAGTTCTCCTCCGCACAGCCCACCCCTCTTCCTCTGGACCACAGACTCTCCGCTCCAGTTCCTGAGGAGTCGGTAGATCCCAGTGGTCCTTACGCTGAGCTAGTGGGTTGCCTCATGTACCTGATGACTTGCACTCGCCCAGATCTCGCATACCCTCTCAGCATCCTGGCTCGTTTCGTGGCCACAGGCAGACACCGACCTCAGCACTGGTCTGCCGCTAAGAGGGTTTTGCGTTATCTTGCAAGTACATCGGGCATGGGGTTAGTGCTAGGCGGACGCAGGCCAGTGGTCCTTACTGGACACACAGACGCTTCTTGGGCAGACGACGCCGAGACGCTCAGGTCTTCCCAGGGCTACTGCTTTAGCCTTGGCTCAGGTGCTGTCTCGTGGAGAGCTACCCGCTCCTCGTCTGTTGCCCAGTCCAACTGTGAGGCTGAGATCTACGCCGGTGCCATGGCGGCACAGGAGCTCCGCTGGCTGACCTTCTTGCTCACTGACTTAGGTGAGCGGCCTAGCTCTGCCCCGGTCCTGTACGCTGACAACAGGGCCATGATCCTCCTGTGTCAGGAGCCTCGACTCGAGGGCAGAGCGAAGCACATCCAGCTGCGGTACTTCCTCCTGCGTGAGCTACAGCAGCGTCGCCAGGCTCGCGTAGTACACTTAGCCTCCGGTGCCAACACAGCTGATATCTTTACGAAGGCGCTTGCGCCTAAAGATCATCAGCGGCACTGTGTACAGCTTGGTCTGGTTCCTGTAGTCTCTCACTTACTCGGGCCTTGACTTTGTACTGCCCTATATATATCTGTGTGTACACTCAGACTGGACTTGTGTCCTCTTACAGTGGTTGGACTAGTAGTGCCGCCCTGTACTAGTTCTTGCCTTGCCTGTACTCCTTCTGACTGGTCTTTTAGACCCTTGTCTCAGAGGCTGGACTAGTAGTGCCACCCTGAGCTGCTTGTCTAGAACATTCCCCTATGCAGTCCAGGGGGTGTGTCAAACATGTTTAGTTATCATGCTTGTATAGACTGTATAGGGTCATCTTCTAGAGAGTACAACTGTTAGGTATATGTTTGTGTACTCTCTCTCTCTATTCATCAATTTCACTGTTTGATACCAACAGCCGATCGCCCATGATATACGGCCAGCCGAGGAGACGCTCATCGAACCAGCGAAGATCCTGAGCCATCGCGTCAGAATCAACGGTCAATAATGACACGTTGCCTTTCTTATACGATGGACTCATCATACCAGTGAGGACGACACGTGGGTTTCCTCGGTACAAGTACAATCACCTACTGTACTCCGGGATTATTTATCCCGCAAGCACGTCGCAAATATAGACCACCTTCGCTAGAGTGGGGGTAGTGTAAGGAATTTTCCATTCCTTCCACACAGCTAACGCGTACCCCAACCCCACACGGCACCGACACTTGCCCTAGCTTCGGCCCGAACATGGCACCGAACCATTTCCGCGACACTCCGAAGCGTTTCGCGTCCTCGGATGCCTTCTTCGAACCTGTTCGATCGCACGGCTAGGATTGCTCTGGTGTTTGTGTGTCTTGCTTCGTCATTCCATTGTAACACATTCTGTTATTCTGAACCTCAACATTCGATTCCGCGCTACTCTGGTGAAACACTCGTAACAATCCTCCTCACGGTAACGGTCGTGGCTTCTTTCACAGGCGAACGGTCCACCATTTCAATTTAGTTTTACTGTACTCAAAACGGCAGTTTTCCCCTCGCGTCGCGAACAGGGAACTGAAAGCGGTCCGGTCAATTCACCACCAGCCACGCGCCTGGTTCCATTTCCATTGTCCAGCCCAGCCGTGGGCTCTCTCACAGACTCACAGACCATCGCATGCTGAACTGTACCATCATCCTTCCTCCCACATCTGGAGTCGCATCGCATCACACAATGCAGGGCAACCACAACTGTGGTCCAAACCAGATTCATTTTCTAGCACGCACATACACAACCATAGGCCCACACACACTCCAAATTCTTCACCAGGTCATTTTGGAAGCCACATCTCGCCATTCTAGCTTCGCTCGTCACAATTAGGAACTAGAATCAAGACACGCAGTAATCGTCCATTTCTCTCGCGTATTAAAGCTGTTTTTGGTGAATAAGCCAGCCAACAATCCTCTACCAGCGTTTTCTCCGCTAGTTAGCCATGGCCGATACGGAGCAGGGTTTCTCCGCTCCTCTCCGCAAATACGTCCTTAGTCCAGTGGAGGAGGAAGATCGCACCACTCTCCGCAACCGCTGGCTTCTATCTCTCTGCCTCTCAACCCCCGACCATCGTCTCGCGTCCGCGACCCCCCCTCCTCCTCCCAACCGTTTCTCCGCTGCGACGACTACCCAGTCGGGAAGCGACACTCCGTGCGACGGTAGGAGTCGCACGGAGAGCCTCGCAGATCAATCGCCCATCTGCCCGAAGCGACTGTCTTTCTCAATGCCGGGGGAGGAGCCGCTTTCGCCTAAAGCTCTCGACTGGGGCACGCGAGTCTGCTCATCAGCCCCGGCAGCAGGCTTGTTGCCGAACCTACTCCACCAGCGCATGCCGCAGGTTCGGTTTATGGTTTCGATAATGGGCCTCGTCGTCACCGCGGCGTTCCTCTTCTCCGACGGAGTCGCCAGGGGAGATGCGACGCAGCGCGGGTGGTGGGCGAAGGATGCGAAAGCGTCGCCCGTCGCAGGGCTGCGTGATGGTAACCCGCCAGACAGCCGGCGTAACGGCGGCGCGAGCGGCAAGTGGGACTGGGTGGACGGGGAGGGAGAAGCGGCTGAATCGGACGTCATGGATGCAGCGGTAAGTTCCCTTAGAGTCGCGGGACCTGAAAAGCCCCCGTTAACTCCGGAACATTGCCGTATGCGGAGACGACCCAGCCGGCGGTAGTGGACACGCGCGCAGGACGATGAAAGCAGCGGTGTGACAAAGCGCTGTGACGAAGCGGTGTGATGGGCCCCTAATGATCTCTTGCTTCCGTGTCTTTGTGACGTGTCGTGTCGTGTGTGGGCAGGAGCTGCGCGTGCGCGAGGAGATGGTCGCGCTAAAGTGGCTCAAGTTCCGATCGGGTCAGCTGCAGCTGCACGTGCACTCTAGTAACGAGGTGCGTGCTTACTGATCCCCATACAATCACATCCTCTTTACAAAACGAAAAAATTATCAACATATGTATGTATCGCATGCCGTTACGCAACGTGATCGGATCGCAGAACCGATACCAGCCAGCATACAGAATAAATGTAGATTAGTCCGGCAGTCAGTCTAACCTGCCGTTTCGGCCCTGTTCTGCAGGTCGACATCAGCTTCTGGGGTGACGTATTCCAAACCGCATTCGCGGAACTTTCGGGGCGGCATGAAGCGGCGCGCAGGGCGGCGATTCGGCGGATTGCCCACCTGTCGACTCAGGCGTATGACGTGGACCTGTCGGCTACATTCCCCGTACGCATGGCACCCCCCGAAGCCTCACCCTCACCCACCTTGCTGGTCCCCTTGATCCGTTCTTCCCACACGTTGCCCTTCCTTGTCCGACATTACCTTTCCTCCTGTCGCAACTACTTACCTGCGTCGCAACAACAACGCGGTCTACGACTTGCAATTGTCGTTTCGGCGAGCGAACATCAGTTGATTCACTCCAACCCCCGCGTCCTCCCTCGTACCAGGTGTTTCGCCCGAAGTGGCGCTGGCAGACCGAGCCAAGCACCCAACAACAGTCGCAGCAGTCGCAGGAGTCGCAGTCACAGCTGTCACAGCAGTCGCAACAGTCGCAGTCACAGCTGTCACAGCAGTCGCAGCAGTCGCAGCAGTCGCAGCAGTCGCAGCAGTCGCAGCGAGGGAATGTGGGGAAGCAGCAGAGCCCGTTGCGCGCCAATCGCAGGGTTGAGCAGACGGGGAAAAGGCGGCAGGTGAAGGCCCCAGGGAAGCAGAACCGTCCAAGGCGCAACTAGTGCCTCCTCACGAGACTGACATGTCCCCCCACAAGGCCGACGAGTAAACCGAGTCTACGAACACCGTTTGTGATAGGCGTAGCTCTGTAGGTGTAGGTGTGTGCTAACGCCCTTTGCTTGCAGCCCTAGCTGCTCTACTGACAACAAGGCGCTTCTCTCGAGGGCCTGACTTCTCCCCATCTCTCCCGTTTCTCCCTCCTCCTCTCCAAGCCTACCCTACGCGCTCTCTCTTGCTCTCTCTCACTCTCTCTCGCTCTCTCTCTCTCTCGCTCTCTCTCGCTCTCTCTCTCTCGCTCTCTCTCGCTCTCTCTCGCTCTCTCTCGCTCGCTCTCTCTCGCTCTCTCTCGCTCTCTCTCTCTCGCTCTCTCTCGCTCTCTCTCTCTCGCTCTCTCTCGCTCTCTCTCTCTCGCTCTCTCTCGCTCTCTCTCTCTCGCTCTCTCTCTCTCGCTCTCTCTCGCTCTCTCTCGCTCGCTCTCTCTCGCTCGCTCTCTCTCTCTCTCTCGCTCTCTCTCTCTCGCTCTCTCTCTCTCGCTCGCTCTCTCTCTCTCTCTCGCTCTCTCTCTCTCTCTCTCTCTCTCTCTCTCTCTCTCTCTCTCTCTCTCTCTCTCTCTCTCTCTCTCTCTCTCTCTCTCTCTCTCTCTCTCGTTCTCGCTAACTCTTGCACTCTCCTCCGCTTTCTCGTTCCACCTCTCTCCCACCCTCCCCTTTCTATTAGACCTCAGTCAGAGTGTCATTGGTGACGATTCTCCCACTCCATAGATTTGGTCCTTCCCTGTCTCAAGGACCCCTTTTTATTTTCCTTGCCTTCTGTTGTCAGTTTGGCTTGATTGGTACAACGTGTTTGGTTGCCTTGAGTTTGTTTAACCTTCACGATCATAGATGGAATGGATTGGCCCTAACTAGATCTTTTAGATGGCTGCCCAAAACAGCCCCAAACAGCATATGCAACATTTATGACCTATCGATACAAAGGGTAAATGCAAGAGGAGAAACAATGCTTGGAAGTAATGAGGGGAATATGTTAGGTTTGTGGGTTGCTTGTAGCATTTGCATGATTGCTGCAAATTGACACAAACGAACCAAGTGGCACTAAACTGTCTACAAAACTTTGCTATCCGTACTGTCTCTAATAACGAAGCTGCAAAAGCGCGGAAATGGGGTGCAAAACAGTGGTTTTCAGGCACACACAGAAAATGCCGTCTAGCCCCTGAAGTCTCCATTCTGCATCTCGTTGACTCGACTTATCCCTGACACAAAACCGCCAAACGCGGCGGCAACTTCCTGGCGTATCATCCCGACTTCTGATTTCCTGCGTTACTTCTCGCTGTCTCTCTGCGAAGGCGAACAAGCCTTATTCTAGCACTCAGGCTAGTCGGTAACTGACGAATTTGCTGCTGCTCCCGAGATTCGCGTCTGCCACGTGGCGATCTCCTTTCCTAACCGATTCATTGGCCTGCCGTAGCTAACAGCACGAGCCGTTTTCCGTGTTAGGGTTGACATACGCGCACGCCTTGATTTAGAAGGAGGGGTCAGTGCGGCTGTGTCCTGCTGTCGCTTCTCTTTTCCTTATCCTGCCGTCACCCGCTGTCTTAGAACAACCTTTCCTCCTTGAAAACGTCCCATTTCTCAGGCCTCGCTAGACGATAGCTTCGTTCTGCATTCCTGAAAGGTCGCGTTAACCCTAGAGAGTGCATTCGACAGTCACGACGAGAGTGCGCCAGGAGTTTTTTTTCCGATTTAGCGCCGTAAACCCGGCGATAGCACGTTCTGAGGTTTAAGCGATCTCGTTTAAAACCGATCCGTTGTAACATATAACGCCGAGTTTTGCTATGGGAACCAAGTTGGAGGCTAAGCAGGTTGTGTACTGTGGAGGTACGTGTCGTTCCGTGGACGAAACGTCTCAGGCGGGAAACGGCCAGATCCATACTTCCCGCCGTTGTGCTCTCTTGCGCTAATCTCAACATTCTCCGCCATTCCATTTTCGCATTCTCGCGTCCCCTACACCCACTCCTTCCCCCACCCAAACTCCTCCCCTCCCCCCGCCTTCCATCACTCTCTACCCACCCACCCACTCTCCCCCCCCTCCGCCGCCCCCCCCTTTTCCCCCCCTCTCTCCCGCCCCCCTTCCGCGCGCCCTCCACGCTCCCCGCGCGCGGCAGTGTGCGGGTTGCCCCCGGAGTTCTGCGAGTTCGGGCCGGACTTCACCAAGTGCAAGCCATGGCTGCTCGAGCACGCGCCGCACCTCTACCCCGACCTCGCGGGTGAGACGGGGGGGACGTGGGGGGGCGGCCGGGGGGGGGGAGGGGAAAGGGGGGGGGAGTGACTTTGACTAGCCTGTGACTGGCAGCCGTGGGTGTGGCTGGCAGCCGTGGGTGTGGCTGGCAGCCGTGGGTGTGACTGGCAGCCGTGGGTGTGGCTGGCGGTCGTGGGTGTGGCTGGCGGGCCGGACTTCAGCAAGTGCAAGCCGTGGCTGCTCGAGCACGCGCCGCACCTCTACCCCGACCTCGCGGGTGAGACGGGAGACGGGGAGAGGGGGGGATGGGGAGGGGGAAGACGGGGAGAGGAGGGGAGGGGGGGAGACGGGGAGAGGGGGGATGGGCTGGTTTCACTTGGGGATTTCAGCCTGTAACTCGTGGGTGAGATGGGTACAGAGAGACTCCAGCACGTGCCGCACCTCTACCCCGATATTGCGGGTGAGACGGGGAGGGGCACCTCGCGGGTGGGAGGGGTGGAGGGTGGGGAGGGGGGGGGGGGGGGGTGGGGGGGGGGGGGTCAAACCTCGCGGGTGGGGGGGGAAGGGGGTAGAGAGAGGGAGGGAACGAGAGATAACTGTCACCGCATTGCGCCGCATCTCACCACATTGCAGGTCAAAGCCTCGTGCACAATGACACCCCCTCCTTTCTCTCTCTCTCTCTCTCTCTCTCTCTCTCTCTCTCTCTCTCTCTCTCTCTCTCTCTCTCTCTCTCTCACTCTCTCTCTCTCTCTCTCACACACACACACACACACACGTTGCATTCCCCTACTTCCCCACACTCGTTACTCGTTACTCGCCAGCTGAGAAGCTGAAAGAGCTCTCAACAGCAGAGGGAGGGGAAGGTGCCGGGGCAGCAGGAGCGGGAGCAGCAGCACCATCAGGTGAGAGCAGCCGAGAAAGCTTGCACTGGCCATTCTTGAGGTTCTCGATCTCTATTTGTCGCTTGCCTCACTGGCTTTCCACTCTCACCGTCACCCTCCCTTGTCACTTGCCTCGCTTAGAAAGCCAGTGCCGGTTTCCCACCCTTGTCTTAGAGGTGGAGGGAGACGGCGCCGCGCGACTCAACTAGGGAGGTTCTGCAGCAAGGGAGCTTGTGGGGGGCAGCAAACGCAAAACCGGGACTCTGAATTCAACTCATCTTCACAAAATCTTAACTTTGCCCACAGCCTTTCCTCAGCCTGGATCACTTTGGGAACTAAGCGTCATTCACACTTTCCCTTTTCTTCTGCCACTTCCCGCCTGTCTACCTACCCACCACACCTCCCACCCTTCTTCCTCCCTCCATCCCCTCCGTCCATTCGCCTTCTCTCTCTGCAGCAGCAGCAGCCAAGCCGGAAGAGCCAGTGAAGAAGCTTCCCGGTGGGAGGGTGAAGAAGCAGGTATGCTCACAGAGTGCTTTTGAGTCGACTCGAAAGCAGAGCCAGTGGAAAAGCTGCTGGGGGGGGGAGTGAAGGAGCAGTAAGCAGCGAGCGCATGGGCCGCGTATGAGTGTGTGCATGTGTGTGTGCGTCTGTGGTTGGTGTGTGTGCGTGTGTGCGGTTGGTTGTGTTGCGTGTGTGTGGTTGGTTGTGTGTGTGTGTGTGTGTCCGCACACGCATGTGTGCCTGCAGCCTGCACTCATGCATGGAAGTGCATGCATGCATACAGATAGATACTGTCGATCCAAGTGAAGTGCAATCATAGTTCTTCCAACTTCCATGTGCTCTTACGCATGCTCCAATCCTATGCATGGCACGGCGTGACACGGCGTGACATGGCGTGACACGGCGTGACATGGCGTGACACGGCGTGACATGGCGTGACATGGGGTGACATGGCGTGGCATGAGCAGGACAAGAAGGAGGTGGTGGTGGAGCGAATCGTCCGGAACAAGCGCAAGTCAGTCACAACCATCAAAGGCCTCGAACACTTCGGTGAGAAACACTCTGGTATTGCTCTCGAGGGTTGGGGTGCCTCAAAAGTCACTCTTCTCTCGTGCTACCGTTCCGTCGCGAAGCAAGTTGACGCAACTGAGAGGTCTCGAGACTTCTTCTTGCCACTCTCCCTCCCTCCCGCCCTCACTGCCTCATCCGCCCCCCCCCCCCCACCCCACCTCCCCTTCATCTATCTGCCTTTCCCCCCAACCAGGGGTGAAGCTTCCTGAGGCGGCCAAGAAGCTGGGCAAGAAGTTTGCTAGTGGCGCCTCTGTTGTCAAGGTGGGCTATGAGAGAGTGGAAGAGAAGGGAGAGAGCTTTTAGTTTTAGGCGCCTCAAACGGGGTTAGCCAGTGGCGCCTCTGTCGTCAAGGTGAGCTGTGTGAGTGAGAGGGAAGGGGCCGGGGGAGAGAGGGGGAGATAGAGGGGACAGAAGTGGGGGGTTTGGGGCGAAAAGGGAGGTGGGGAGGGGGGAGTGGGAGAAGGTAGGGGGAGGGAAGTGTGCTGTGGTGTCACCTAAAATCACGACTCGAGGGGGGGGAAGGGAAGGGAAGGGCGAGGGGGGGGGGCAAGGAAATGAGAGGCGGGAGAGATGGAATCCATTCTCCAAGGGCACACTGGCTCATGAAATGAAGGGGGGACAGACACCGACACATCTGAGTTGCTCTCATTTCATGCGGCAGGCCTCTGTCACATCTTCATTCCACCCTCCCTTCTGCTCCCTCTCCTGCCGCCACTCCGTGAACGTCTCCCTCTCTGCCTCCCTGTCTCCCTTTCTCCTTCCCTCCCTCCTTCCCTCCCTCCCTCCCCTTCCCTTCCCTCCCTCCTCCCCCCCTCCTTCCACCCACCCGTACCCCCTGCAGGGCCGAAGGGAGAAGGAGCGGGTGGACGTGCAGGGGGACATTCTCCTCGGCGTAGTCGACTTCATTCTCTACTGTCTGTTCCCCCTGTCCTCCTTCCTTTCCCCCCTCTCTCTCCCCCTTCCCTCTCCCCTTACCCCCCTGCAGGGCCCAACGGAGAAGGAGCAGGTGGATGTGCAGGGGGACATTCTCCTTGATATAGTTGACTTCATTACAGCAACATGGCCGGACGTGAGACCCCTGCTGCTAGTGCCATTGCCATGCCATGCCATGTTTGCTTGCGTTGGCTTGCATTTGCTTGTGCGTTGACACACCAACCCCTACCTGTTCACTCTCCGAGCTCAGAGCCCCTTGGTGCCTAGTCCTAGCTCTGGGTTCCCCTGCCGTCTCTTCCAACCCGTCCGTCCCTCTGTTTCTTCCGCTTATCTCTCAGTCTTTTTCTCTGTCTGACCCTCGCTCGTTCTCTGTCTCCCCCTCTGACCCTCCACTCTCCCTCTCTCTCGCACACCAGGTCCCTGAGGAGGCTATTTTCTTTATAGAAGACGGCAAGAAGGTCCCTGCATGCTAGCATGCCTTCCCTTCAGCTGTGCTGTGTAACGGCCGGGTCGGGGTGTGTGTTTGAGTGTGTGTGTACGATTTCTACTACAATTGTAATTGCCGATACTAGAAGAGTTAGCATTTTGACGACTTATCGTGTCCAGTTACCCCTGCAAGTAGGGCTCTAGGAAAGCATTGCCCCAATGATGAGACGGGATGGGATGGGGTCGTATCGTAGAGCGACAGTTTACCGCACTGGTGGTGGCACTTGCATTGCTGTGAGACAACAATACAGCTTTCTCACAGCAATGGTGCTTTGAATACATGTGTAAGCTGTATTGTGCGTGTGTTTGTGTATGTGTGCGTGCGTGCATGCGTGCGTGTGGCGTGCGTGCGCACGTGCGCGCGTGCTTGCGTGCGTGCGTGGGTGCGTGGGTATGAGAAATTTTTTTGTAGTAAAAAATTTTACAGATTGTGATTCGACTAGAAGAGGAGTTTGCTGTAAAGGAGACAAACTCCTTCATCTATCGGCAGGTCTTTCAGACCTGCCACCTAGTCTCATTTGCATTTTTCTGTTCCAACTTGTATACCACCAGCACACTCTAAACCTCTATGCCCAGATCTGGGCATAGAAGTCTCTTGCTGCAAGACGTTATTTCTGTTAGATACTCTACAATGGTTAGCGGACTCATTTCCATTGCAAGTGGTAGGCCTCCTGCTCCTCGTGTGAATACTAGGAGTGGTGGAAGGCGTGGGTCCCCTGTACGTGAGGGGGACCGAAACTCTTCATCTCAGCATAGAGAACGATCTCGTTCTCCTCGTCCTGGCGGAGGTAACGGCGCAGTTACCGCTTTGGATTTGCTGAGTGGCGCGCGTCAAGACCCTGTTCAGCACGTCGAAAACACGGCAGGGGACGCGGATCGTAACACGTCACGCAATTGCGATTTCCCCCCCGGATTTCAAGGCGAGCGGCGTAACGAGCAGAACCGCGTCGACACGAACCCGACTGCCGAAAACGCCCCCTCCCGGCCCCCACCTACCGAACGCAATCATGACGGTCCTGCGCGCGAGGACCACAATCATGATCGTGATACTGCGCGCGCAGGGCGTCATCATGAGCGCGATCTCAACGCCCCAGCGCCCCAGATTCGCCAGGATCGCCAGGATCGGGACCGGGATCGCGCAGATCGCCGTACAGATTTTGCTCCTGCCGCAGTGAATCCGCGCGGGATTCCGCAGATCTCGACCCCTGGAGCAGCAGAAATCGCCGAAATGATTGCGCGCCTGGATCCTGCAGCCCAGCGCAATCTCCAGCGAATCTTCACAGGAGCTGCTGGCGAACGCGTTACAGCACGCTCCACTGCATCTACAGCGCCTCATTCTGCAGAACATAATTCTGCTCGCTACACCGACAACAATGTTAACGCCGGCACCAACAACGAGGCCATTCACCACGTTCTTGGTCTTCTCGCGGCGCTCCAGCGTGGCAATGGCGCCGATCCTGCACCGCCACCGGAACCAGCACGCGTCGCAGCGACGGTGGCCCCACGCTCTCGCCTCCCGGCGCCCGCCCCCGAGCCCGTTGACGACGAAATGGACGAGGAAGCACCCCATGCCACGCTCGACGAAGGTAATGCCGCCCGCCCGAAATCCGCTTCTGCATCGCTCACCCTCGCTCCTATTCCACCTGCACGTCCTCAGTTGCGCTCTTCCTTAGTTAAAAGCGATGGAATTCGTACGCAACTTTTTAGTTTTGAGCGCATTCAAGCTATTGCACGTCATGCTATCTCGGTTTTACCACTTGACGGTGGAGAACAAGCCGCCGACTATCTCCAGCAGATAGTAGAGGAGGCGGAAGAGAAGATTCATTTTTTGTTTACCGCCGATCAACGCGGTTTCGAAGTGGCCAATATGGCCCTTAAGATTAAGTATGGGGAAGTGGTAGAGGATAAGAATGTGAAGGCCGCTTCTCAGATTGTAGCGGCCAGCAAGAAGAGGCCGACTCGGCCCACCCATCCCACCTCCCGTCCTGAACCCCCTCTTCGCCCTCGCGGCCAAGGGGAGCGCCTTTGGAACACATGGCGTAGGGACGGCGACGGCCGTTGTTTCTATTGCCGTGAACCCGGGCATGGGATGGCTAATTGCCCCCAAAGGGGCCAAGGGGCCAATCGGCCAGCTAAGATTGTGTAAAGTTTGCTTAACCTCTCCGATGTTGTAGCGTTCTTAATTTAAAAAAAAAAAAAAAAAAAAACACACACACGCACATTTGTGCATTCAAGCAAGATTAATACGCGCGTCATACGGCCACATGGTCTTGCACGTTGGGCCCGTGCAAGAAGACGTGAGCGTGCCCACAAGACGCATACACAATGTGTGTGCGTCCTTTAAAGACTGACGTTGATAAGATTCATCACAAGATTTCTATGTCCATCGCAAAAAAAAAAAAAAAAAAAAAACCGTATGCTCGCAAAACGATTGCGTAGCATTTGCGCAAATGCTTTGCAAACGTTTTGCGAACATGTGGGTGAACACTCCTGGCGGACTAAGATTAGAACACTTGGCAAATGCTTTGGCAACATTTCCCGAAACACTTTTTGGTTCACGACAAGGAATATATGACGACCAACTACAGCCCAAAATGCCAAGTTCACATTCCCAACCCATAGTTTATCACTTAAGGGATGACGTGGCCGAATAATAGCGAGCAAGCGGGCACCTATATCTAGCGTTTGCCTTCCTTCCAAAAAAAAAAATAAAAAAAAATCGTTGCGTTCGGAACTACATGAGGTACCTTCCTGATTCTCTACCGTCCCTATTTGTGTTCCCTCTCCTACCAGAGCTCGGAACCATTTCGGCCTATGCCGATGACGCAACCAAGATTACCCGCATGCAAGGCCGCTTCCGTGACCGCGCTGCATGGTGGTCCGCCTGGTGCGACAGCCGCTTGATTCTATCGGTGATTACATCTGGATATCGCCTACCATGGGTTGCCTCTGAGCCCCCTCCGTCTCGTACTAAGAACCATGCCGGTGCTTTGCAATTCACCTCTTTCGCCGTAGGCGCAGTGGCCGAGCTTCTCGCCACCGGCGCAGCTCGGGTCGTTCCTCCTTCCACAACCCTCACATGCGTTAGCCCCTTAAACGTGATTGTCCAACCCTCAAAAAAGAGACTGATATTGGATTTGCGGCATGTCAACTCATTCCTCTCAGTACCTCGTTTTCGATACGAAGGACTTACTCGCGTTCCTGATTTGGTGCAAGAAGGTGATTGGCTATTCACGATCGATCTCAAATCTGGATACCACCACGTCGACATTCACCCCGCTTTCTGGCAGTTTCTCGGATTCTCCTTGCAAGGGCAGGACTACCAATTCCTCTCTTTGCCTTTCGGGCTGGCTACAGCGCCGTTTGTGTTTACCCAGTTAATTAAGCAACTCGCCAAACGCTGGCGTAGCCGTGGCATCCGCCTTATTCCATACGTCGATGATATCCTATTCATCAGTGCCACTCGAGCGGAGGCTCTTCACAACCGCTCCATAATCATTGCCGACCTCGCAGCCGCGGGCTTTGTTGTGAATTTCAAAAAATCACAACTCGCACCGGCACAATCTTTGAAGTTCTTGGGCCTCTTGCTGGACACGCGCACCACCACTTTCTCGGTCGATGCGGATCGGCGCAACCGGCTTTTTGCCGAGCAGGATGAATTAGGCACACTCGGCACTAACGGGCGTCGCATCCCTGTTCGCCGCGCTGCCCGCATCACCGGCATGTTGGCCTCCATGTCCTTGGCGCTTGGCACTGTCGCGCGCGCTTTCTCCCACCACCTTCTTACGCAGATCGCCGAATGCCACTCATGGGGGGCGGCCATTCTCCTCACCCCTGAGTCTGTTGAAGAACTGCGATTTTGGCTTACACAGTTCGACGTTTTCAACGGCGCCCGCTTCCACAACCCGCATTTGTACGACGTGGTCATGTACCTGGATGCTAGCGACCATGCTTGGGGGGCTTGTTATTCAGCGCCGGATGGTCGTGTCGGCTCGCTCTCCTCCCCGCTGCCTCTAGCCCTCTTGGGCTCGTCCAGTACCCTTCGCGAGGTGGCCGGAATCTTTTGGTCCCTTTCGGCCTTTTCTGTCGAAATCCGACGTTCGCACATCTTGCTCCGCAGCGACAGTCAGGCGGCCTACTACATCCTCCAGAAGGGAGGCTCTCGCCGTCCCGAGCTTACCTTCGTATGCCGCGCGATTATTCAATTGTGCGTGCGCCATATGATCCGTCTTACGGTCCAATGGATTCCCCGTGCGCTGAATACCGAGGCTGACGCTCTGTCCAAGATTGAGCTCCACGACGACTACTCCTTGACACGACCTTGGTTCCGGCTGCTTGAGAGGCATTGGGGGCCTCATACTATCGACTTGTTCGCATCCCCTGCCAATGCGCAGCTCGCTCGTTTCTGCTCCCTCGAGTTCTCACACTCTGCGGTTGCGCAAGACGCTTTTTCTATCAATTGGGGCCACGAGAATTGCTTCGCCTTTCCTCCACCCACCCTCATCCCGGCTGTCCTAGCTCATGCCCGTCGCTCGCGCACTTCTCTCACTCTCGTGATCCCATATTGGCCCAGTGCCTTTTGGTGGCCTTTGCTAAGCTTGGACGGCTCCACTTGGGGCCCGGAGGTCGTTATGGCCCTTCGCCTTACCCTTGGTGCTAGTTGTTTACGCGTTGGCAGTGACCGTCATGCCTTTAGCGGTGCTGGTCTTCCGAACTCTCCGATGTATGCGCTTCGTTTTGCATTCAACTAATGTATCAATTTATTTCACTGCGCAGGCTCATATATTGGTCGATTATTGTCGGACCTTCTCACACTCACCGTTGATCTTCGGGCGAAGTCTACCCTTCGCACTTACGAACCCTACTGGCGACAGTTTCGAGCCTTCTGTTTGGCGCACTCACTTCCCTTCCTTCCCGCCACCGACCTGACAGCGTCCCTCTTTCTGCTGCACTCGGTCCGTCGCGGCGCTACTGTCTCAGCTGTGCGCACTGCGTGTTCCGCCATATCCTGCGCCCATTGGCTGGTTGGCCACCCCTCCCCGATTCGCGGCCCCTTTTCTTCGCAAGTCAAGGATTATGCCATGCGTCATTGTGGCAAGCCACCTCAAGCTAAGGAGCCCATTCCTCCAGCCAAGATTTACGATATCTGTGACATCTACTTCTCATCGCATGATCCGGCCACATTCCAGCGGGGCCTTATTCCCCTCCTCATGTTCGCAGCCTTCCTTCGTTTCTCTGATCTCG